GGGAGCTGTTCTTCCATCAAAACCTGCTCTTAGGTGGATGTGGTGGTACATGCCTGCAATCCCAGCAACCTAGGAGACAGAAGACAGAAGACTATGAGTTCAAGGCCAGCTCTGGCAAAGTTATCGGGCTGAGGGCATGGCTCAAGTGGTAGAGCTCTTGCCTAACAAGTATGAGGTCTTGGTTCAGTGCCCAGTACCAGCAAAGCAAAACAAATCCCAGAAAGCAGCAAAAGTAAAACCTTATTCTTGCCAAATGTGATGACACAAGCCTGTAATCTAGGCTCTTAGGAAGCAGGAGGACAAGTTCTCAGCCAGGCCAGTCTGAGCTGCACAAGGAGACCCTGTCCCAGTCCCTCACACTCTCCCAAACTACTCGAGATTTCTGTCAGTGTTAATATAAGGAGGCTATGGTAGAGAACAGGCATGGGGGTACAGTAATTACAGATTTCACTGTTCTTTGTAGTCGTTGAGAATCAAGACTCCAGTGTATACTTTGCTCACTCATGATGTCTGTGGGGCCAGACGTGAGTTTGTGTGTGTATACATCACCTCCAGCCTCTGGAGGGCCCGTCTTGTCCCTCGCCTGAGCTGCCTCTCCTCCCCCAAAGGTTACCACCTTAGCTTCTATCCCAGATTAGTTTTGCCTGTCCTTGAACCCTGTATAACTGAATGCTGTTTTATTAACCACATCTTTAATGCTTTCCTAAGTATTTCTAAATATGGCACTTAGTACAAGTGCTGTGTGAAGTTTGCCTCTGGAACAAATGAAATCAGGGTGCCTGTGAGAATATACACTGTATAATGGATGGCTCGTCCAAAGAGGGCAGGATTGTAGTGTTTTTTTGTTTTGTTTTTGTCAGTCGTGGGGCTTGAACTCTGGGCTTGGGCGCTGTCCCTCGCTTCAGCTCAAGGCGAGGGCTCTACCACTTGAACCACAGCGCCTTCCAGTTTTCTAGTGCTTTATTGGAGATAAGAGTGTCACAGACTTTCCTGCTGGGCTGGCTTGGAACCTCGATCCTCAGCCTCCTGAGTAGCTAGGATGACAGGCGTGAGCCACCGGCACCTGGCTTGAGGCAGGATTGTTGTAGTAAAGCTGACCTAGAACCTGCAGGACTGCGGTTCACTTCGGGGCTGGACACTAAAGTCACCTAACCTTTCACCCCTTAGTGTGTGCTGAAAGGTGGAGCCAGGCCATCCGACCCTCACAAATGTCCACCCCTGCAGTGGCTGGGGTGGCTGCCTGCACGGAGCCTCAAGTGCTGGGCATGGCAGCCCCGCCGGGCCAGGCCTGAGAGCCTGTGTTGGTGCAAGCGGCACTGCACTGTCGGTGCAAGCTGAGGCTTGCCCTCGGCTCTCTCACGTAAGACTGGCTATTCTACCACTTGAGCCACAGCTCTGCCTCAGCTTAATGGATAAGTCTCACAGACTTTTCTGCCTGGGCTGTCTTCAAACTTCAGTCCTCAGATCTCAGCCTCCTGAATCTAGGCTTACAGGCATGAGCCACTGCTTACATTGGTTTTAGTATTGGGTTTTGTTCTGTTTTGGCATAGTACTGTCAAGTTTTCATGATGTATTTTAGTAGTCTTTTTTTGGGGGGGTCTGGTCTTGGAGCCTGAACTCTGGGCCTGGGCGCTGTCCCTCAGCTCTTCAGCTCAAGGCTAGCTAGTACTCTACCACTTGAGCCACAGCACCACTTCCGGCTTTTTTTTTCTTTTTGCTTATGTGGTGCTGAGGAATCGAACCCAGGGCCTCATGCATGCAAGGCAAGCGCTCTACCACTGAGCCACCTTCCCAGCCCCTTTGTTGTTGTTTTTTAACCACTCAAGTTCCTCTTTTTTTTTTTTTTTTGGTTGGTCATGGGTCTTGAACTCTGGGCTTGGGCGCTGTCCTTGTGCTCTTCAGCTCAAGGCGAGTGCTCTACCACTTGAGCCACAGCACCACTTCCACTTTTCTAGCAGTTTATTGGAGATAAGAGTCTCACGAACTTTCCTGCCCAGGCTGGCTTTGAACCTCAGTCCTCAGATCTCAGCCTCCTAAGTAGCTAGGATTACAGGCATGAGCCACCAGCGCCTGGCAAGTTCCTCTATTTTGACAGGAGTCTAGCTTGATGAATGGAGGAGTTAAGGGGAAAGCCTGTAAGAGGTACTGCAGGGAATGGAGGAAGAAGGTCACCAGTTCCTCCTGTCCAAGCACAGCTGTCCTCAGGTTGCTGTCCATGTACAGACATGACTGCAGTCCTGGATTTCTTTTTTTTTTTTCTTTTTGGGTCTGGTCATGGGTCCTGAACTCTGAGCCTGGGTACTGTCCCTCAGCTCTTCAGCTCAAGGCTAGTGCTCTACCACTTGAGCCACAGCACCATTTCTGGCTTTTTTTTTCTTTTTGCTTATGTGGTGCTGAGGAATCGAACCCAGAGCCTCATGCATGCAAGGCAAGCGCTCTACGACTGAGCCACCTTCCCAGCCCCTGTCCTGGATTTCTTTACATTCTGGGTTGTTTTTGTTTTTGTTTTAGTCAGTCGTGGGGCTTGAACTCTGGGCCTGTGCGCTGTCCTTCAGCTCTTCAGCTCAAGGCAAGCGCTCTACCACTTGAGCTACAGCGCCACTTCCTGTTTTCTGGTGGTTTATTGGAGATAGGAGTCTCACGGTCTTTCCTGCCCGGGCTGGCTTTGAACCGCGATCCTCAGATCTCGGCCTCCTGAGTAGCTGAGATGTCAGGTGTGAGCCACTAGTGCCCGGCTAGGGAGATTTTTCTTTTTACATCTCCACAGGTCTGTATGTTCCAGTCAGACTCTTCTACTACACTTCTTGCCCCGTCTCCCTAGAAAGCATCGCCAGCAGATTTAATTGTTCCTTTTTTGGGGGGGAGGGGGGCGGGGAGGTCCTAGGGCTTGAACTCAGGGCCTGGGAGCTGTCTCTGAACTTTTGTGCTCAAGGATAATGCTCTACCACTTGAGCCACAGCTCTACTTCTAGCTTTTTGGGGTGGTTAATTGGAAACAATAATCTCCTAGACTTTCCTGCCTGGGGTGTTTTCAAGCCACAGACCTCCGATCTCAGCCTCCTGAGTAGCTAGAATTGCAGGTATGAGCCACTGGTGCCTGGCTTTGTTTCATTTTTAACAGTTGGAGATCATGCATTTCCACAGCATTCAGCCTCCTTCCTCCTCCTGGCCAGCCCAGCCCCTCCTTCTCATCCCCACCCTCTTCTGTTTTTGAGACCTGTGGGCATTGCAGGAGTTTGCTCAGAGCATCCTGAGAGCTGCTGCCTTGTCTCCACAAGGCTTCCCTAACCCACTGTTCTGAGTGCCAGGTGTCTAAACGTGTTTGTTGAAGGAACAAATAATAGCAGTGCCGTTGTCCCTGAGCACGCGGGACTGGCTCAGTGCTTAGGATCATACTGATGTGCCCCGAAAGGGACTGCGTGGAAGTCACACAGCCCTTTTTATGTCCAGGCATGTCCTTGGTGCCTGAGTCCCTCGTGAGCACCAGGGCACAGACGTGTGCGGTATGGGCTGAGAACGGTGTGTGTAAGGAAGGGCCCAGCGCTGTCGGGGTTGGGGGCAGAGGACAGCAGTAGGGCCAGCACAGTGGAGGGTCCTCGGCTGGCTTCTCTCTGAACGTGGCTGGACTCTGGGTGAGGGGCGCATTTCGCGTGGCTGTGGAGGAGAGCAGGGGCGGGGTGTCTGCAGTCTCTTCCAGTGCTTCTGGCCGATTGGGAATATTCAGAGTCTCTGGGGCTGCACGTGGCCCAGTGATGGAGAAGCCCACTTTCTGGGAGAACATCCAGAGCATAGGCCAGGGAGTAACGGAGAGACCTCAGCATCCGCCTCCCAGCTCCATCTGAGCTTGGCGCTCACGCCTGCCATGAGAGGTCTCACTTCCCAAGCCAGCAGCGCTGGACGCTGGACCCAGTGCCGCAGAGCCCGTCAGCCTGCCCGGCCCTGAGGGCCTGCGGCCTGTGCCTGTGCTCTGGCGGCTGACTGGCCTCTGAGCCCCATGAGGACGCTCTGCTGACTTGAACCTCGGGCCCAGTGGCCCGCGTCCTCTGCCCTCCCCTCTGCTCAGGAGCCTACAGCCAGACAACAGGCACTCCTGTTCCATGTTCCCAAGGCACTCGCTTGCACACACGTGTATACACATATACACCCATGAGCTCTCCTTCAGGGACTGAGCCCCCTTTTTTGGTCATGGATAGCACGGAGAGCCCCCAGCTGTCCCCTGTCCAGGACTAGCCTGCTTTTCTGTGAAATATGGCTCAGTTCCTAATCGAGGCTGGGAAGGAGCCCTGGCAGGAAACAGTACGGCCCCAGCCTGGGACGGGGAGGTTGGAGGGGGGAGGAGGGCGGGGGGGGGGGGACGGCAAGCATGAAAGGAGGCTGTCAGGTGGCGCAGCACACTTCAGGAGCTAAGTCTTACTCCAGTCTCCAGTCAGTGCTGGGCGAGATTGCGGGGGTGAGCCTGTTTGTCTCCTTGCAGGTACCTGCTACAACTTGGGGACATCCGGGCCTCTCCACGTCCACACTACCATCCAGTTGTGTTTCTCATTCAAGTCTGCTCTCCTGGCACCTAGGAGCTCCCAGACACGGGGGAGGGAGGGAGGGAGAGGGGGGAGCTGAAGCCCCAGGCAGAGGCCTAAGGTCATACTTGGAGATCTGCAGTTGGCTGTCCGCTCTGCTCTCTCTCCCTGTAGAGGAGGTATACTTGTGGCATCCTTTTTTTTCTTTCTTTTTTGTTGCTAGTTTGGGGGCTTGAACTCAGGACCTGGGCGCTGTCCCAGAGCTTTTTCAGTCAAGGCTAGCACTCTACCACTTTAAGCCACAGCGCTACTTCTGGTTTTCTCGTGGTTAATTGGAGATAAGTCTCATGAACTTTCCTGCCTGGGCTGGCTTTGAACCTTGATCCTCCGATCTCAGCCTCCTGAGTAGCTAGAATTACAGGTGTGAGCCACCAGCACGCGGTGAGTTATGGCATTCTTAGGCCTTAATTGCTGGCGGATCTGAGAGCGGATTTGTGTCTTTGAGGAGGATACCTGGCATGCAAGGTGGCTGTTGTGCTCTCTCTGCTCTGTCAGAAGGTCTTAATGTCCTTGCTCATCAGCCTGAACCCTGAGCAGCCCTCTCGTCCTCCTGGTGCACGTGGAGGAGAGAAGCCTGCTGTGTGATCACTCTGGAGGTGGACAAGGAAGCCAGTCTGTGCTGGAGAGTGAGGAGGGGTCCTGGAGTGAGGAAGAGCCACGGTCTGGAGGAAGAGCAGGATGGGCATGGGTGGAGGTGGCCCCGCTGGCCGGGCTGGCCGTGATTCCCAGCAGCAGGAATCGGCCATAGGAGTGTGTGCTGGTGGGGATCGTCAGGGCGAGCCAGCATGCAGAGGGATTCTGCAGGTGTGTCCAGTGTGGAGCAGGTGGGGCAGAGGACAGCAGATGGGGGGCTCAGTGTCTACGGACCAACTGGCTGGGTCCCCTGCCACATGTTGCCTTCTTGTAGTGCTCTCTAGGACCCCAAGGAACTGGAAGGTGGGCTTCTGCCCTGCTAGCTTCCTGTGCTGTGTTGTAGAAGCCACCCTCTCCCCAGAGTGGGTGTTGAAGGAACCATGGGCCCAGGATGGAGGACGCTGGCCACTGGTGCTGGCAGGAGGGCTCTCAGCCAGGGCGCATGCCAGCGGTCAGGAGCCTGATGGTGTTGGTTGCCACCCTTGCTGCGCCTCTTCCCACACGTGTAGCAGGAGACTGGACTAGTCTGTTACTGGGGCTGCCCAAGTTCTGGAGTCTGTTTTCTCAGCCCCTCGTTTGTAGGTCCGTGTCTTGGCCCAGACCCCCATCAGTTGACTGCTGGTGGGCTTCATTTGCTTTGTTTTCTTCTGGAGGATTTATCCTGAATGGACAAGTGACGGGCCTGTGCTCTTCCCTAGGGCGTTGTGGTGTGTGGGGGCACAGTCCTCATGGCTGCAGCCAGCGTGACCCCCCCTGGCTCCCTAGACCTGCTGCAGCCAGGCTTCTCCAAGACCCTCCTCGGGACCAAGCTAGAGGCCAAGTACCTGTGCTCAGCCTGCAGGAACGTGCTACGGAGGCCCTTCCAGGCCCAGTGCGGCCACCGCTACTGCTCCTTTTGTCTCTCCAGCATCCTCAGGTGTGCAGGGCCACCTGCCGGGGCGGGGGGGGGGCTGTGAGAGCAGCACTGAGCATCAGAGTGGCCCCAGGAACTAGTCCTCCCTGGCTTAGCACAAACCAAGAGGGTAAATGAATCACTTAGCATACTGGTTTTGGACATGTGGAGTCAAGTGCAGAATATCAGTCGGGGTAGTCCCAGTTGGCGATGTGGCACAGGAAGAGACGTGTGGCCCCTCCAGGCTGCTCTGTGTGGCTGGGGTGTCACCTGAACCCATCTGGTGAGTGAGTGCCTGCCGTGAGTGGTGGGAGAGGGTGAGCCGCCTGCCCACCCACAACGGGGCCTGCGGGGGGGTGTGGGGGGGTGGGAGGCGCGGACAGGCACTCCTGGGTATTTCCCGGGCATGTCTTAGAGAACAAGCATCTTGCTCACAATTAGAAGGAAGGGACTGGAGGCAGCTCAGCCATAGAATACCTGCTTGGCATGGGTGAGACCATGTTCAATCCCTAAACTGGGGCAAAGAAAAAGAAGAAAGAACGACTTGGCCTTGGGAATTCAAGTCCCCTCCCCCAAAACTTTTTCAGTATTTGCATATTCTTATCTGTTTGAAAGCATTCAAATAGTGTACAAGTGACATATGCTTTTTGGTTTTATTAAAGATGGTACGGAGTTGGGTTGTGGACTGAGCAGATGGTGTCAGTTTTCTCTGCAGCAGATTTTGCAGTGGGGTTTTGTTTTTCTCTGTTCCCACCAGCTCTGGGCCTCAGAATTGTGCTGCCTGTGTCCATGAGGGCATCTACGAAGAAGGCATTTCTATTTTAGAAAGCAGCTCGGTAAGTGCAGTGTCTTGAAGCTAAAATGTCAGAATGCACAGAAAATGTTTTGAGGTTTTCATCAATACTGGTGAGGCTAGAAATTGCCTCTTAGCAGACCTGTTACTGTGCTGGACATTGACTTTGAGCAAACGTGAATATTTAGGTTTATAGAAATGGTACCAGAGTAGATGTGACATTGGGGGGGGCGGTCCCTCAGAGCCATCCTGCCTGTGCCTCTCAGGCCCGCCCACGGCAGTGTGGGTCATTCTTGGGGTGTTCTTGGTGGGGCTCGGGCTGGTGTAACCCTAGGACAATCCTCTCCCCAGGCCTTTCCAGATAATGCTGCCCGCAGGGAGGTGGAGAGCCTGCCAGCCGTCTGTCCCAGTGATGGGTGCACCTGGAAGGGGACCCTGAAGGAATATGAGGTAAAGATGGGGTGTCTGCCTTGGCACGACTCACTCCGCAGCCTGCAGGCGGCTTGGGGGCTGAGTCCCTAGCCGCGGAGGCTCTGCTCCCTGGAGCAGTTCCAGCCTGGGCCCTGCTCTGCCTCTTGCTGCCGGGACCAGCCTGTGCATGGGGTGGCGGAAGAGGTGCAGCGGGTGGTGAGGTGGACTCGTCCAGAGCCTGGCCCTCCCCTCTGCGTCAGTTTTCTCAACACACGGGGCGTGGTAAGGATGGGAGGTGCAGGGTGCTGCCCAGAGGGGGCGCCGCGCCCGCTCGGTAGCAGGTGTCCGGGAGTGGAGGGCACACCACCTTGGCGTCTTCCATGCTCGGCGGGGTTTTTCTGTTACTCCACAGGGGTCTCTTACTGTGCACACAGCACACTTGTCTGTGGTCACGGAAAGTGTTTTGACCAGCAACAGCGGTAGCCAACCTTGTGGGATTTGTCTGTGCCAGCCAGGCTGGCTCGTGCCCTGTGCCAGAGCATTGGGAATGTCAGCGTGAGCCTCATGTCACCTTTAGACATCTGCAACTAAACCTGTAGCCTAGGACAGAGTGGCTAGCTCAGGCTCCTGCAGTCTACCACGGACGACCTTCAAAAAGTTGATGTAAGCCAGCCCCCAGTGGCTCATGCCTGTAATCTAGCTACTCAGGAGGCTGAGATCTGAGGATTGCAGTTAAAAGCCAGCCTGGGCAGGAAAGCCCATGAGACTTGTTTTGTTTTGTGTTTTGGTCAGTTGTCAGGCTTGAACTTTGGGTCTGGGCGCTGTCCCTCAGCTCTTAGCTCAAGGCTAGTGCTTTACCACCTGAGCCATAGTGCCACGTCAGGTTTTCTAGTGGTTTATTAGAAGTAAGAGTCTCATGGACTTTCCTGCCTGGGCTAGCTTTGAACCGTGATCCTCAGATCTCAGCCTCCTGAGTAGCTAGGATTACAGGCATGAGCCACTGGTGCCTGTGAGTCTCTTATCTCCAATTAACCGCTTAAAAACTGTAAGTGGTACTGTGGCTCAAGTGATAGAGGGCTTGCCTTGAGAAGAGCTGAGGGACAGCGCCCAGGCCCACAGCTCAAGCCCCATGACCGACCAAAAAAAAAAAAAATTGATTTATTTTTGGGCACTGAGGGCCCATACCTGTAATCCTAGCTACTGAAAAGTCTGAGGTCTGAGGATCTCAGTTTGCAGTCAGCTTAGGCCAGAGAGTGCAAGATGTGAATCTTCAATAAACTACCAAAATGCCAGTAGTAGAGCTGTGGCTCAAGTGGTAGAACACTAGCCTTAAGCGAAAGAAGCTCGGGGACAGCACCCAGATCCGAAGTTCAAGCCCCAGGACTGACACAAAAAAGTTTCTTTTTCTTTTTCTTTTTTCTTTCTTTTTTTTTTTTGGTCAGTCATGGGATTTGAACTCTGGGCTTGGACACTGTCCCTGCACTCTTCAACTTTACCACTTGAGCCACAGCACTACTTCTGGTTTTCTGGTTGTTTATTGGAGATAAGAGTCTCATGGACTTTCCTGCCTGGACTGGCTTTGAACCACGATCCTCAGATCTCAGCCTCCTGAGTAGCTAGGATCACAGGCGTGAGCCACTGGCGTCCAGCCAAAAAATGGTTTCTTGAACAGATGCTTGCACAGGAATGTCTGCAGCAAGCAACACCATTCAGTGGCCTAATGGTGGAAACAGCCTTCCCTTCCTGCCACGTAGGATCCATCAACAGGGCAGGAAGGGAAGTCTTGACACCCACTGCGGTAGGTAGGTCCAAGGTGATGTCGTGCTGGATCAGTAAGCCAATCACAGAGGGCTCAGTCCTCAGATCTGTAGAGATAGGCTGTAGAGTGGTGGGGGTTGGGGACTATGTTGGTGGGTGCAGAGTTGTACGTTGGGATCTGGAAGTGGGGAGGGACCTGGATGCCATCCCACGGAGCTGTAAAAAACTGCTTGCTTGGAACCCTGGTTTCCACGCCTAGAGGAGGTCCCAGGCCAGGGCCCGGGAGACAGGTGCGTTTGTGCCAGGGGGTGTGAGGCGGACCCTGGGGAATGGGGACTGGAATGACTGATCTTGTTAAGTGTGGCCGGCCAGACTTCGCTTGTTGAACCGCTTCGTAGTCTCAGGCCCTGGGTTTCATACCACCAGAGCGCACTGTTGGCTGTACCTGGGGCAGTGTGTAGCTGTACCTTCCCCTGGCATCGTGAGGAGACCGCCTGGGGTGGTGACGAGGGCTCCCCCAGGCAGGTGCAAGGGACCGAGGGCGGGCACCCTATGGCAGTTTCTAGCTTCAGTCTCTGGGTTCCTCTGCGGTCTCTTCCTCCTGAAAGATGTGGTCCTTGAGGTCAGCTGCTGTGTGGGCCTCTGGCTGAGGGCCAGGGACTGCAGCCAAGCCATGTTCCAGGCATGCAGGGCGGAAAGTCCCTGGCTGCGCCCTTTGAGCACTCTGGAAAGTCCCTGAGAAGAGTTGTGGGGGAGGGGCCGGGCTGGGGGAGTGGCTCTGCTGTGACCTGATTCTGCTGGTCAAACGTCTAGCTGGGGGCTGGGGGCGAATGGTGCGGGCGGGCGGGCGGGCGGGCATTGGAGGCAGCTGGTGCCACCTCTGCAGAGTTCCTGCCTGGCCTCCTCCTGCTGTGTCCACATCTGTTCACTCTTGGACTATTTCTGTGAAAACCAGTACTAAGGCTAAAGATTTTTTTCTTTGTATTTAAATGGAAAAGTTTGAAAAAAATCGTATTTGGGTTTTGGTTTTGTTTTACCTTTGTGGTAATGACTTTGCTTCCAAGAATGGAGTTGTTTGTCTGTTTCTGTGTGTGCTAGTTTGGAGGCTTGAGCTCAGAGCCTGGGAACTGCCTCTGAGCGTTTGAGTTCAAAGCTAGCGCTCTACCACTTGGCCACAAGCTCACTTCCAGCTTTTTTGGTAGTTAATTGAAAATAAGAGTCTCACGGACTTTCCTGCCCAGGCTGGCTTTGAACCACGATCCTCAGCTCTCAGCCTCCTGAGTAGTTAAGATTACAGGTGTGAGCCGGGCGCTGGTGGCTCACGCCTGTCATCCTAGCTACTCAGGAGGCTGAGATCTGAGGATCGCGGTTCAAAGCCAGCCCGGACACGAGAGACCGTGAGACTCCTATCTCCAATAAACCACCAGAAAACCGGAAGTGGCGCTGTAGCTCAAGTGGTAGAGCGCTCGCCTTGAGCTGAAGAGCTGAGGGACAGCGCCCAGGCCCAGAGTTCAAGCCCCATGACCGACCAAAAAAAAAAAAAAAAGATTATAGGTGTGAGCCACCATCACCCAGAAAGAAGAGACTCTAGAACGTTTCTAGATTACCTGTAAAGAGTCTCCAGTAGAACAGGTTCTGTGGTTGATTGCTTGGGCCGAGGGCATTCCAGGCTTGTTCCGGTGATTGCACCAGGGAGTTGCAGCCGGCATTCCTGGGAGATTCGAAGTTGCAACAGCTGTGTGTGCTTAAAACATTACACTTCATTTCTAGTGGAACAAACACCAGTTTCTCTGAATTGTTTCTGCTGGGGTTGGGACTGAAGTTCATTATCTGAATGGGGCAATGCGAGTATATCTGCTGCCCACGGGTCCTGGGTTCAGCTGGGGATTTCCAGTGTCTGGGTTCCTTTAAGGCAAATACAAGCTATCATGCCATTTGCATATGGATATATGTATATATATGTGTGTGTGTGTATATGATTTATATAGATAGGTAGATATTAGTATAGCAGATTGAACACAGGGATGTGTGCTAAGCAAATGCTCTACCAGTAAGCTGTATGCCCAATCTTTTGTCTTGAATTTTTTTTTTTTTTTTTGCTAACCCGGGGGGTTTGAACTCAGGGCCTGAGCCCTGTCCCTGAACCTTTTTTTTTTTTTTTGGGGGGGGGGGTCCAGTTGTGGGGCCTGAACTCTGGGCCTGGGCGCTGTCCCTCAGCTCTTCAGCTCAAGGCTAGTGCTCTACCACTTGAGCCACAGTGCCACTTCCGGCTTTTTTCTTTTTTCTTATGTGGTGCTGAGAATCGAACCCAGAGCCTCGTGCATGCAAGGTGAGCGCTCTACCACCGAGCCACCTTCCCAGCCCCGTCCCTGGACCTTTTTATGCTCAAGGCTAGCACCCTACCCCTTGAAGCATAGCATCACTTCTTACTTTTTCTGAGTAGTTTATTGGAGATAAGAGTCTCACAGACTTTCTTGCCCTCACTGGCTTTGAACCACAGTCCTTAGATCTTAGCCTTCTGAGTAGCTAGGAGCCACAGGTGCCTATCAAGTCTTGTTAAAGTTTGTTGTTTTTTCTGTCTGTTATAGCTTGAAGTCAGGGCGTGGGCGCTGTCCCTGAGCTCTTTTGCTTAAGGCTAATGCTCTACCACTTGGAGCCACAGCTCCACTTCCAGTTTTTGAGTGGTTAATGGGAGACTTTTCTGCCTGGGCTGGCTTTGAACCACAATCCTCAGATCTCAGCCTCCCGAGTAGCTAGGATGACAGACGTGAGCCACCGGCGCCCGGCTGCCACTGGCTTTTTCTGTGTATGTGGTTCTAAGGAATCTAACCCAGGGCCTTATGCATGCTAGGCAAGCACTCTACCACTATGCCACCCTCAACCCCAGCTAGTAAAGTTTTAAAGAATACTTCTTTTGTTTTTGTTTGTGGAGCTTGAACTCAGAGCCAGGGCACTGCCCCTGAGCTCTTTTGCTCAAAGCTAGCTCTCTACAACTTTGAGCTACAGCATCACTTCCTAAAGAATACCTTTTTGTTGTTGGTAGTGGTCATGGGGCTTGACCTCTGGGCCTGGGTGCTGTCCCTGAGCTCTTCAGCTTAAGGCAAGAGCTCTACCACTTGAGCCACTACCCCGCTTCTGGTTTTCTGGTGGTTCATTGGAGATACGAGTCTCATGGACTTTCCTGTTCAGGCTGGCTTTGAACTGTGATCCTCAGATCTCAGCCTCCTGAGTAGTTAGGATTATCAGTGTGAGCCACGACGCCTGGCTAGAATACCTTTTTATTTAGCTATTTGTGCTTCTTTTTTTTTTTTTTTTTGGGGGGGGGGTCCGGTCATGGGCCTGAACTCTGGGCCTGGGTGCTGTCCCTCAACTCTTCTGCTCAAGGCTAGCGCTCTACCACTTAAGCCATAGTGCCACTTCCAGCTTTTTTTTTTTTTTTCCCTGTTTATATGGTGCTGAGAAATCGAACCCAGGGCCTCATGCATGCAAGGCCAGCGCTCTACCACTGAGCCACCTTCCCAGTCCCTTGTGCTTCAGTTTTTACGTGCCATAAACTATTAGGCACCAGTCAGTCCTGGGGCCAGCCCCTCTGACCTGCTGCGGTGGGGCAAGGCCAGCGCTCTACCACTGAGCCACCTTCCCAGTCCCTTGTGCTTCAGTTTTTACGTGCCATAAACTATTAGGCACCAGTCAGTCCTGGGGCCAGCCCCTCTGACCTGCTGCGGTGGGGTGCTTCTAGCTCCTGCGCCTCCAGGCTTGGGATCAGGGCTTCAGGCTGCAGCCTGTCTGCCCACAGAGCACTGCCCCTGGGCACAAGGGCGCTTCTTCCTCAAGCAGCGGGCACCCCTCATCCGGCCCCCACCCCCAGCTTCCCAGCACTTGAGCAAGGACCCTTTTCCTTTCTGCTGGACTTCTCCATGGTCCAGGAGTTCCTGACCTGCAGCACTGACCCTCCCAGGGGGTCCTGCAGAGGACCACCTCGCAGCCCCAGCAACTCACCTCCCCACCCCGCCTGAGGACAGCCTGTGTCCCTGAGCACGCCTTTGCTCCTGCCCCAGGCCTCACCCCGCACTCGCTGAGCTGAGCCAGGCCTGCTGGGCTGGAGGTTTCCAGGTGTGGGGGGGTGGTGGGGCTGCACACACCGCGTCCCCCTGGGGTGCTCAGCAGAGCTGTGCGCTCTTCACCACAGCTTCCAGAGCCAGCTCACAAAGCCCCTTCAGCTCACATCCCTCTCGCAACCACTCTTCTCTGTCTGCCGGCCCTCACCTCTTGCTGTGTTGGTTTCTTTTTCTTTTTTTCTTTTTTTTTGGGGGGGTCCAGTCGTGGGGCCTGAACTCTGGCCTGGGCGCTGTCCCTCAGCTCTTCAGCTCAAGGCTAGTGCTCTACCACTTGAGCCACAGCGCCACTTCCGGCTTTTTTCTTTTTGCTTATGTGGTGCTGAGGAATCGAACCCAGGGCCTCAGACATGCAAGGCAAGCGCTCTACCACTGAGCCACCTTCCCAGCCCATGCTGTGTTGGTTTCTGACCTCGGCCCCGTGGCTGGGCTAGAAGGCCTCTGGGGCTGTCTGGTTTCTTCCTGTTCAGCCAGCCAGTGCAGCGCCCTCCGCTGGCTGCAGTTCCCTGCTGCTCTCTGAGCACATCCAGAATCTGCCACTACCTTCCCGGTGCCCGCCGTCCCGTTCTGTTCGTCACTGCCGTGGCTCTCCAGCCTCAGTCTGTTTCACACAGCCTGATAGGACTTGAAGGACTCTTTCCTCAGATCTCAGCCTCCTGAGTAGCTAGGCTGACGGGTGTGAGCCACGGCGCCCGGCTTGAAGGACTCGTTCTTGTGGGCTCTCTGTCCACACCCCTCATGGTGGGCAGTGCTCGGGAACCTGGCTTCCAGGGTCCTGATGGGTTCACTCACTTTCCCTCCGTGTCCTTCTTTCTGCTGCCCTGGATTTCCCTGAGATGTTCTGTGGGCCTACTTTGCCTGGCCTTTACCTGCAACTTGGGGTACCTGCCTTCCTTGGGTCATGTTTTGGGTGCCTTTTCCTGCATAGTTTCACGTCCACCGCGCTGTGTCTCCTGGCCCGCGAGGGCTTCCCCGCGTTGGTGGGATGGAGAGGCGGACGTGTGAACACTCACGGCCTGCCCCATCCTCGTCCTTGTCCGCTTGCGGTCCGGGGGCTCCAGGCAGCCTCTCCTTGCTGCCTGTCCGTGTTTGTAAGCAGCTCTCCGGGCCTGGCGGGCACCCTGGCCGTCCATGTCTTGTGATTCCTGGGCGACTCTGCCCAGGATTCCAGGTGCTGGAAGCAAGGGTAGCCACTTCCATCGTCTCTGCCTCCCACACCCCTGCTCCTCAGCAGGGCTGGCGGGACCCTCCGCACAGCGGGGGCACGCCGTGGGTTCTCAGTTGGGAGCTGGCGTGGAGGGCTCCGACACGGCGTGCGCTCAGCTGCTTGGAAGCAGGGCGGCCTTGGGGGCAGTGTCCACTCCAAGACCAGCTGCAATGGCATAGTCCCTTGGCTTCGTCTGGGGCAGGCAGAGTCACTGTCAGAGCAAGAAGAGGGGACCCACTCCCCTGTCTGCCCCTCTGATCTGTCTGTGGAGCGAGGTCTCGGTATAGGTGGCAGGAGCCCATGGCATCTGCGTGCGCACTGCATACGCCTCCTCCTTTTGCTGCCAGAGCTGCCACGAAGGACTCTGCCCGTTCCTGCTGACCGAGTGTCCCGCCTGCAAAGGCCTCGTCCGTCTGTGCGAGAGGGAGCGCCATGCTGAGGAGGAGTGCCCTGAGCGGCGCCTGTGCTGCCCCCACTGCCAGGCCCCCTGCAGCCACGCCGGCACGGAGGTACACTGCGGAGGCCGCGCCACGGCGCTGAGCTGGAGTGTCGTGCCTGCGGTGGGAGCCGCCTGGCCCCGCACACCTGCTCCCTCCGCAGCATGAGCCCTGCCCAGAGCCGGGGGGGGGGACTAGCCTTTCACCACGCGAAGTCACGCAGCACCAGCCGGGGCTCATGCCTCTCACCCAGCTACTCAGGAGGCTGAGATCGGAGGATCACAGTTTTTGAAGCCAGCCCAGGCAAGAAAGTCCAGAAGACTCTTTATCTCCTTAACTACCAAAAAAAAGCCAGAGGTGGATCTTTGGTTCAAGTGGTAGAGTGCTAGATTTGAGCAGTAAAACCCAGGAACAGCACCTAGGCCCCCCAAGTTTAGGCCCCAGGACCAATACTTTAAAAAGTCTTATTACCTGGACACAACAGCCCATGCCTTTAATACTAGTTACTTGAGAGGGTGAGATCAGGAGGATCCCATGTTGAGGCCAGCCAGGGCAAAAATGTCATCAGGACCTCCCCTTAGCCAGTGGAAAGCTGGTTTGAACAGCTTGGTGCAGTGAACACACTGAGCGGTCCAGCTGTGTGGGAGGTGTAAGTTGGGGGACTGAAAAACAATGAAAGCAAAAAAAGACTCCGGTGTGGCTGAGGCGGAAGGCCACATGCCTAGTGAACTGCAACTACCAAGAAGCCCACCAAAAGCACGGGTTAGAGAAGTTTACACGTGGGGCTGGGAAGGTGGCTCAGTGGTAGAGCGCTTGCCTTGCATGCATGAGGCCCTGGGTTCCATTCCTCAGCACCACATACGCAGAAAAGGCTGGAAGTGGTGCTTGGCTCCAGTGGTAGAGTGCTGGCCTTGAGCTGAAGAGCTGAGGGACAGCGCCCAGGCCCAGAGTTCAGGCCCCATGACTGGCAAAAAAAAAAAAAGAAAAAAAAGTTTACACGTGCAGATGGTGAGTGAGGAAGGTCCTGGGAAGCCCCAGCTGGAGTGGGCAGTGGGCAAAGAGGGCAACTGGTGTGGGCATGGACAGCTCAGCATCTATTCACTTCTAAAGGGCACAGAGTTAGTGCTTCTGACCACTCCTAGCTTTCCATCGCTGTACCATGCCCTGAGATAGATACCTCCTACACCAAGCCTCTGAGATAGATACTCACCTCCTACACCAAGCACCTGAGATAGATACTCACCTCCTATACCAAGCACCTGAGATAGATACTCACCTCCTACACCAAGCACCTGAGATAGATACTCACCTCCTATACCAAGCACCTGAGATAGATACTCACCTCCTACACCAAGTACCTGAGATAGATACTCACCTCCTACACCAAGCACCCGAGATAGATACTCACCTCCTACACCAAGCACCCGAGATAGATACTCACCTCCTACACCAAGCACCTGAGATAGATACTCACCTCCTACACCAAGTACCTGAGATAGATACTCACCTCCTACACCAAGCACCCGAGATAGATACTCACCTCCTACACCAAGCACCCGAGATAGATACTCACCTCCTACACCAAGCACCTGAGATAGATACTCACCTCCTACACCAAGCCTCTGAGATAGATACTCACCTCCTACACCAAACACCTGAGATAGATACTCACCTCCTACACCAAGCCTCTGAGATAGATACTCACCTCCTACACCAAGCCTCTGAGATAGATACTCACCTCCTACACCAAGCACCTGAGATAGATACTCACCTCCTATACCAAGCACCTGAGATAGATACTCACCTCCTACACCAAGTACCTGAGATAGATACTCACCTCCTACACCAAGCACCCGAGATAGATACTCACCTCCTACACCAAGCACCCGAGATAGATACTCACCTCCTACACCAAGCACCTGAGATAGATACTCACCTCCTACACCAAGTACCTGAGATAGATACTCACCTCCTACACCAAGCACCCGAGATAGATACTCACCTCCTACACCAAGCACCCGAGATAGATACTCACCTCCTACACCAAGCACCTGAGATAGATACTCACCTCCTACACCAAGCCTCTGAGATAGATACTCACCTCCTACACCAAACACCTGAGATAGATACTCACCTCCTACACCAAGCCTCTGAGATAGATACTCACCTCCTACACCAAGTACCTGAGATAGATACTCACCTCCTACACCAAGTACCTGAGATAGATACTCACCTCCTACACCAAGCACCTGAGATAGATACTCACCTCCTACACCAAGCACCTGAGATAGATACTCACCTCCTACACCAAGCACCTGAGATAGATACTCACCTCCTACACCAAGCCTCTGAGATAGATACTCACATCCTACACCAAACACCTGAGATAGATACTCACCTCCTACACCAAGCACCTGAGATAGATACTCACCTCCTACACCAAGCACCTGAGATAGATACTCACCTCCTATACCAAGCACCTGAGATAGATACTCACCTCCTACACCAAGTACCTGAGATAGATACTCACCTCCTACACCAAGCACCTGAGATAGATACTCACCTCCTACACCAAGCCTCTGAGATACTCACCTCCTACACCAAGCACCTGAGATAGATACTCACCTCCTACACCAAGCACCTGAGATAGATACTCACCTCCTACACCAAGCACCTGAGATAGATACTCACCTCCTACACCAAGCCTCTGAGATACTCACCTCCTACACCAAGCCTCTGAGATAGATACTCACCTCCTACACCAAGCACCTGAGATAGATACTCACCTCCTATACCAAGCACCTGAGATAGATACTCACCTCCTATACCAAGCACCTGAGATAGATACTCACCTCCTACACCAAGCCTCTGAGATAGATACTCACCTCCTACACCAAGCACCTGAGAGAGATACTCACCTCCTATACCAAGCCTCTGAGATAGATACTCACCTCCTACACCAAGCCTCTGAGATAGATACTCACCTCCTACACCAAGCACCCGAGATAGATACTCACCTCCTACACCAAGCACCTGAGAGAGATACTCACCTCCTACACCAAGCACCTGAGATAGATACTCACCTCCTATACCAAGCACCTGAGATAGATACTCACCTCCTATACCAAGCCTCTGAGATAGATACTCACCTCCTACACCAAGCACCTGAGATAGATACTCACCTCCTATACCAAGCACCTGAGATAGATACTCACCTCCTATACCAAGCCTCTGAGATAGATACTCACCTCCTACACCAAGCACCTGAGAGAGATACTCACCTCCTATACCAAGCCTCTGAGATAGATACTCACCTCCTACACCAAGCCTCTGAGATAGATACTCACCTCCTACACCAAGCACCCGAGATAGATACTCACCTCCTACACCAAGCACCTGAGAGAGATACTCACCTCCTACACCAAGCACCTGAGATAGATACTCACCTCCTATACCAAGCACCTGAGATAGATACTCACCTCCTATACCAAGCCTCTGAGATAGATACTCACCTCCTACACCAAGCACCTGAGATAGATACTCACCTCCTATACCAAGCACCTGAGATAGATACTCACCTCCTATACCAAGCCTCTGAGATAGATACTCACCTCCTACACCAAGCCTCTGAGATAGATACTCACCTCCTACACCAAGCACCCGAGATAGATACTCACCTCCTACACCAAGCACCTGAGAGAGATACTCACCTCCTACACCAAGCACCTGAGATAGATACTCACCTCCTACACCAAGCACCTGAGATAGATACTCACCTCCTACACCAAGCACCTGAGATAGATACTCACCTCCTACACCAAGCACCTGAGATAGATACCTCCTACACCAAGCCTCTGAGATAGATACTCACCTCCTGTACCAAGCACCTGAGATAGATACTCACCTCCTACACCAAGTACCTGAGAGAGATACTCACCTCCTACACCAAGCCTCTGAGATAGATACTCACCTCCTACACCAAGCATCTGAGATAGATACTCACCTCCTACACCAAGCACCCGAGATAGATAGCCCTGGAGACAAGTTCACGTTAGCTCACCTTATGTCTGAGAAGAGCGAGAGAGAGGAGAGGGAAGTGAGGTCCATGGTGCTCTCAGGGCCACCCCCTCGAAACCTAGAGCCCTCCCCCCGGGCACTGCCCCCCAAAGACTCCGTGACCCTCACCATGGGTGACTAAGCCTTTCTCACACGGGCCTTTGAGGGACACTAAGCCCAGCCGTAGCAACAAGTAACAGTAAGAGCTTGTGCATCACTTCCTGTCTTACGCCTCCTGTGGTCTGCTTATGCCTTCCTGCTCATAGAGTGACGCTGGGATTTACTGAAGACAGGCTCCCTCTCTGTGTTCACTGATGTGTCTCTGGGGTCACCCGGTCTGCGATGCTCCCCAGGGGTGGCGCTCTCCCTGGGGCTTGCTGCCTGCTGCCCTTGCCGACTCCCCTAGGTATCCTCAGGGTGCTTCTCCGTCACGTGCACAGACCAGCGCCCGTCATGGCTCAGGTGCTGCACAGCGCACGGTGGAGCCGGAGCTCGTGTCCACGCCCCGTGCAGCCTGTGTGCGTGCCTAGGGTAGCTGTCAGCAGTCTTGCCCTGCTTAGCACAGCCATTGTCCCTCTCCGCGTGAACCCCTTGCTCCAGTCAGGGGTGGCAGCGTGGTGGCGCTCCCTTCTTCAGTCTTCTGCAACGGCTCTGTCCTGTGTGCCCTGTGGTGGATGAGGAAGGAAGCCATCAGGTCTGAAGCTCTGGGGCCTGCAGGTGGCCACCCCGTGTTCTCCAGAGAGCACTGGCAGGGGCCACAAGTGTACCAGCTGCCCTGGGGTGTCAGCCCCGTGCGTCCCTGCCTCCCCTGCCCTGGGCCGCAGCTGGCGCCCTGCCTTGTGTTCTGACAGTGTCTCTTTTAGGCACATCGTGACGTCTGCCCTGAGTTCCCACTGGCCTGCGACGGCTGCGGGAAGAGGGTCCCTCGGGCTGAGGTAAGGCGGCCCTTCCTGTCTCTGAAGACTGGGTGCTGGGCGTGCTGGTGGTGGAGTCTGGGGCTAGGAGTGGGTTGTGACCTTGTGCCCAGAGGGCAGCAGCATGCAGCAGAGGCTCCCTGCCGCTGGGCCGCAGGCAGGGTAGACGTGACGTGCCTGGTAGTGTGGCCATACTCGTGGAAACCCAGGGCCTTATGCACACAGGAACAGCTCCACCCCAACATGTGATCATCCTGAAAGTTAAATTAAACGCGTTGTTACTGATCTTGAGCTGAGAGTGTTGCAGCAACGCATCGCATCGTCGTTCTGTGGAATCTGGCCCTGCCTGGACAGGGCCTGTGCTGCCCCCTGGAGGAGCGGTGCGGGACTGCACGCAAGAGCGTGCCCCTGGGCTGGGGGGCTGAAGGGGCAGGCGGCTCCATACTGCTCTGGACGTTGGGGTCAGGGTGACGCTGCGGGGGGGGGGCTTGTGCTCAAATGACAGCAGGCTGAGCCTTCAGCACGGGCTGCCTCCTTGCCTGGCTTCCGCTCAGGTTGGGGTCACTGCGCAGTTGGCGGAGGGGCGGGGCTTTCCTCTCCCGTCGCAGGAGTCGGGTCCAGGCCGTGCTCCCTGACGGCCATGTCCTTGCTGGGGACGAGCTGCCGTCCGTGCCAGGTGCCCTCTGCACCGGCGCGTGGCCATGTGCTCTCTGCGGAGTGGAGTGGCGGCTGGTTGTCTGTGCTGGCGGCCCTGTGCCCCATGCCTGCGTTGGGTCTGGAGTGTGGGCCCGTCCCCCCGAGGCTGCCCGGTAGTCATGGCTCACTTCCTCACAGTGTGGACCTGACCACTTGTGACCTTGGCCTGCTGGGCTGGGGGAGAAGGGCCAGTGTTGAGGACTTGTTCTGTCCTTGCTTCCCTGGCTGACGCTGCCTGTGTGTGTGCACTGGCCCTGCAGCCTCCTGTGTCTGCCAGGCTGCCTGGGTGCAGGGAGGTGCTTGATTCCTACTGGGCTGACCCCTCTCCGTGAACTTCTTGCTTGAGAACCTGCCAGGCTTTGGGGCCTGACCACGTTCTTGAGACCGAGGTGCCAGGATGACGCTTTCAGTTGGCACGGACACCCTGTCACCCTGAGCTGGCGCCTGCACCCTTACCGCCTCACTTAACCACCCCACTGCCAACGACACGGGCGGCAAGTGGTTCTATCCTCTGGGAGTGAGGAGGCCTGTCTCCACGAGGCCAGCATCTCTTGTGTGAACTCCAACCTGGTCCATGGGTGGGGTGGGAAGGGGCCTGGCCGACGCCCGCCCTCACGCCCATCTTCCTCCCCGCCAGCTCCAGGACCACATCAGGACATGTGGCAAGTGCCCCGTCCCCTGCAGATTCCACGCCGTAGGCTGCTCCGAGGTGGTGAGTTAGGGGCTCCGTGGGCTGGGTGGGCTCTGGGGCTGGGTAGGCTCTGTGGCTCCATGGGCTCTGGCTCTGTGGGTTCTGTGGTTGGGTAGGCTCTGTGGGCTCTGGGGCTCTGACTCTGTGTGTTCTGTGGCTCTGTAGGTTCTGTGGTTGGGTGGGCTCTGTGGGTTCTGTGGCTCTGTGGGCTCTGGCTGGGTGGGCTCTGTAGGTTCTGTGGTTGGGTGGGCTCTGTGGATTCTGTGGCTCTGTGGGCTCTGTGGCTCTGTGGGTTCTGTGGCCGGGTAGACTCCGTGGGCTGGTGGCCTCTCTTTCCTGTTGTGTCTTGCTCATCACAGTCCCAACAGCTGCATGCTGTCCTCCTGCCCAGACGGAGGTGGTCCTTTAAGCCAACTGCTGGTGCCTTTGCTGTAAGCCTTCTCAGTGGGCTGAGAGCTGAGGATTGAGGGGTTTTTTTGTTTTGTTTTTTGTGGGCTGAATTCTGGGCCTGGGCGCTGTCCCTCAGCTCTTCAGCTCAAGACAAGTGCTCTACCACTTGAGCCACAGAGCCACTTCTAGCTTTTTTTCTGCTTATGTGGTACTGAGGAATTGAACCCAGGGCTTCATGTATGCAAGGCAAGCACTGTACCACTGAGCCACCTTCCCAGCCTTTTTGTTTGTTTGTTTGTTTTTGGTCATGGGTCTTGAACTCTGGGCCTGGGCGCTGTCCCTTAGCTCTTCAGCTGTAGGCAAACGCTCTACCACTTGAGCCACAGCGCCACTTCCTGTGGGACTCTTTATCTATAGTTAACCACCAGAAAGCCAGAAGTGAAGATGTGGCTCAGATGTTAGACTGAGTCCTAGACCTAAATACCAGCAAAAATAAAATAAATTATAAAGTAAGGAAGTTATACAGGAGTCTTTTAAAAAGACAGTGGCAGATTGAACACTGTCATGTAGACAGGAAGAATAACAGGCCGCACTGTCGCCCGGTGCTCCTGCATCCTGGTGCTCCTTGTCCCTTGGTGTATAAGACCCTGGACTGTCGGCATCTGGGCCAGCATGTGCTGCGTGAACCAGCGCTGTGCTGCGTGAACCAGCGCTGTGCTGCGTGTACCAGCGCTGTGCTGCGTGTACCAGCGTCTCGCTCTTGCCGTTTGTTTGCAGGCGGAGGCTGAGGACCTGCAGGAACACGAGACACAGCGGCTGCAAGAGCACTTGGCACTGCTGCTCAGCTCACTGCTGGAGGCGCGGGCGCCCCCGGGGGTGCCCAGCCAGCTCGAGCCAGAGATGCTGCAGCGGTGCCAGGCCCTGGAGCGGAAGATAGCCACCTTCGAGAACATCGTCTGTGTCTTAAACCGGGAAGTGGAGAGGGTGGCCATGACCACGGAGGCCTGTAGCCGACAGCACCGGCTAGACCAGGACAAGATTGAAGCCCTGACAAGCAAGGTCCGCACCCGTGGATGAAGCTGGCCCTGTCCACGCCCTTGAAGGCTCTGGCCACTGTGTCCCTGAGGCCTGTGCTCTAAGACACCCCTGGGCGTCACCAGGGCCGGGGCTGACACCTCTTCCCGCTGGCCTGTGACGTGCGCCTGGCACAATGCAGCTTCTGGGCCCGTGTTTCCTAGGGTCTATGCGGACCTGCAGCACGCACCTTACCTGGGGGCTGAACCCAGGGACGCCTCAGGAGGCACTGGAAATGGGCAGCCTCTGGAGACTGGCCAGTAGGGTGTGGGCTCAGGATCCACAGCATGGGGTGGGCACGAGCACCCTGTAAGAGCAGAGTGGTCTTGCCCCCCAGGTCCAGCAGCTGGAGAGGAGCATCGGCCTCAAGGACTTGGCCATGGCTGACCTGGAGCAGAAGGTCCTGGAGTTGGAGGCGTCCACCTATGACGGGGTCTTCATCTGGAAGATCTCCGACTTTGCCAGGAAGCGCCAGGAAGCCGTAGCCGGCCGCACGCCTGCCATCTTCTCCCCAGGTACCCACAGAGCTTCTCGCCTGCCTGCAGCATGCTTTCCACCCAGGGCCCGCATGGGGTGGCTCCCAGACCAGGGCGGGCGTGTTTCCTGACGGCGGGCACAAAGCATCTGCCTCTCTGAGGTGAGTTGGGTAATGTATGACCTCTCGGGCAGGTAGGATTGGACACAAGAAACTGGTAGGTGGCAGGCTGGGTTACAGAGTATCTTCATTGGCTTGGGGAGGAGCGGGGTGTGTGCGTGGCAGTAGAGTGGGTGGTAGGGGTGGACCAGCACAGCCGTTGCTCTTAGATGCCAGATTTTTGGTTTTTTTGTTTTTTGGGTATTTTTTGGTTGGTCATGGGGCTTGAACTCTGGGCCTGGGCGCTGTCCCTGCACTCTTCAGCTCAAGCAAGTGCTCTACCACTTGAGCCACAGCGCCACTTCTGGTTTTCTTGTGGTTCATTGGGGATAAGAGTCTCATGGACTTTGCTGTCCAGGCTGGCTCTAAACCACGATCCTCAGATCTCAGCCTCCTGAGTAGCTAGGATGTCAGGCGTGAACTGGTGCCCAGCGAGGTGTCAGCTTTACGGTGCTGGGGGCTGAGCTGAGCAGGCTGAGCTGGCGTCTGCTGCCAACAGCGGCCTGGCCTCTTCTCTTATCCCGGCTCCTCTGGGGGCCTGCGGGCCCCTCCCCCCCGCCCCCTCCCTTCTGTCTGCAGAGGCCGCTCACTGCAGCGCCAGGCCCTTGCCGCTGGGCTGGGTCAGACTCCTTTCCCCGCTCCCTCGTTTGTTCCGGACGCTTGGGTGCGTCTGTCTGGCAAGCCCTCGAGTGCGCGTTCCTGGGGAGCGTCTCTGGGCGGAGGCTGAGGCGTCGGGGGGTCTTCCCTAGTCTCCTCGCGTGGCAGACCCCCGCACCCTGCCTGGCCTTTACCTTCCCTCGCACGTCCCCAGCCTTCTACACGAGCAAGTACGGCTACAAGATGTGTCTGCGAGTGTACCTAAACGGGGACGGCACGGGGCGCGGCACGCACCTCTCCCTCTTCTTTGTGGTGATGAAAGGCCCCAACGACGCCCTCCTCCGGTGGCCCTTCAACCAGAAGGTGTGAGAGCTGGCAGGCCGGGGTGTGGGCTCGGCCTGTCCAGGCCCGGGTGTGCCCGGCGTGTCGGACAGCGGTGCTGCGGCACGGGTGCTCCAGTGGGAGCTGGCTCACGGACCCACTGGGACATGAGCGCCAGAACAGTCCCCAGCTGCAGGCTCGGCAGGGGCAACCGAGAGCTGAAAACCGGGGTCTGCCGTGGCTGAGGACTTGGAGCTCCCAGTCCAGGTTGGGAGGACGGCCCCTTCCCTGCCTTCCTCACCCCGTGCCAGCTATGGCCCGGCTGCTGGCGGAGGAGAAAAAGCAGTTGGCAGAGGACAGAAGGCTCGGGGCCCGGGCTGGGCTGACCACGCCTCAGGACCTAGTGAGAAAGGTGTCCATAGATGGACCCTGCACTCAGGCAGCAGAGCTGAGTTCTAGCAGGGGTTCTGGGTGCCCATTGGCAGGCGGTGCCCATCAGATGAGACAGAGTGGCTGGTGTGCCCAGATGCGGCGGGGGCCTGTGGCCGCCTGCCAGGGGCTGCCCGCGGCCTGAGGTTCGGGAGAGGGCCACAGAGGGGCTGCCCACGGCCTGAGGTTCGGGAGAGAGCCGCGGAGGGGCTGCCCGCGGCCTGAGGTTCGGGAGAGAGCCGCGGAGGGGCTGCCCGCGGCCTGAGGTTCGGGAGAGAGCCGCGGAGGGGCTGCCCGCGGCGCTCCGGTGGCTCAGGCGCAGCCCCTCCCGGGTCCCCTCCTCACAGGTGACGCTGATGCTGCTGGATCAGGACAACCGGGAGCACGTGATCGACGCCTTCAGACCTGATGTGACCTCGTCCTCCTTCCAGCGGCCCGTTGGGGACATGAACATTGCCAGCGGCTGCCCCCTCTTCTGCCCCGTGTCCAAGATGGAGGCCAAGAACTCCTACGTACGCGATGACGCCGTCTTCATCAAAGCCATCGTGGACTTGACAGGGCTTTGACCACCCCAGCCAGAAACAGCTGCGCAGCTGGAGCCCGCACGGGCAAGACCCTGCTGGACAAGGCGCCAGGAGGCCTCGGCCTGTGACCAAGCGCCCTGACACGCGGAAGGAGCCGCCAGCAGGTTCCCAGCCGGCAGAGACCGTGGGGGCCCTGGAGAAGGTCCCGCACAGGCCTCTCGCCGCTCCCCTCGCCGGCCTCTGTGCAGGGAGGGCGGAGGGCAGCCAGAAGGGGGGCCCTGCTCCCCTCTCGGAGACCGTGGGATGGTAGTGGGTGCTGCTGGGGAGAAGGGCCTGTGCCTGCAGAGTATGGCCCTAGAAAGAAGGGTGCTGAAACCCAGTGCTCACGGGCTGAGCCTCTGGCCAGCCTGTGGCCAGCCCAGGGCTTGCTCAGCCTCACTGTCAGGCTGAGGAGAAATCATTAAACCACCTCGCTGTCTTGAGTGTGGCGTCTGCCTGACACCAGGCCACAGGTGGCTCCCACCTGGGCCACGGCAGCCCCCTGCCCTCCTCCACCCCCGGGACCTCTCTGTCCTGTCCCCGTGAGTGCCCCAGGCACCTGTGGGAGCAGCCGGGACACACTGCAGTGTGCTCAGGGTGAGCAAGGCCTGTGCCCTGAGTGCGTGCAGGGGCGGCCCGGGGCCCTGGCAGGAAGGACCGGGAGGAAGCCGGGCCTCCCACTTACTGGCCGCTCAGGCATCTTCAGAGGTCACCTGATGGAAAGAAGAGCAAGACCGTCCCCACGCAGGACTGCCGCAGCCCTGTTCTGCCTGGGGGTAAACTTGGGGGGGGGGTGTCAATGTGTAGCAGGCGCACGCAGAATGGCGGGCAGTTGACCGACCACTCACCCCGTGTGCTGGGCTCCCAGTGGACTTCACTGCTGCGGGCATACTGACGGAGGAGACATCATCTTTCTCCTGAAAACAGTCTTCAAGTTCTCCAGGCCTCCCTGGCCTGCTGGCCCGCTGGGATGGGAGGTGCTGGCCCGTGCCAGGCTGTGCCGGCCCTCGCGGCTGTCCTTGGCCGTCTCTGTTGGGCTGTGTCCGGCAGGCCCTGGGTGTGCGTGGTCGCTGCTTGGGGTGCTGGCGGTCTGCCGTGTTTGTTGCTCATTTTGGATCTCCCCTGCTGTCTTCAGCTGTGATGCTGGGTTTCGCTCACCCCTTCACACTTGTACTGGGTTGGCTTTGTGAACTCTGTGTTGTAGAAAGGTTCTAAAGTTAGGATGTGGCCAGTTAACACTCTTAAATTTTGGTTTTCCATATGGTGGGTTTCTGAGTTTGGGAATTTATTTATGCCAAAACTGGGGTTTGAATTTAGGGCCTTGCACTCTTGCTTAGTTTTTTTTTGCATAAGGCTAGCACTCTATCACTTGAATCACAGATCTACTTCTGCTTTTTGCTGGTTAATTGGAGAGAAGAGAGTCTCTGACACTGTCTTTCCCAGGCTGGATTCAAACCATGATCCTCGGGTCTCAGCCTCCTGAGTCGCTAGTATTACAGGCGTGAGCTATCAGTGCCTGGCTTGAAGCTGGTAGATCAGACATCATCTTCAGAGGGTAGGCAGCTCAGTGGTAGAGCACACACTTGGGCCCTTGGTTCAATCCCCAGCACCAGAAGAAATCAAAAGTGGAACTGAAACTTGTCGCTCGCTCACAGGAATGCGGTCAGGGACAGCCACCGCGGATGGAGTCCCTTGCAGCCGGCACTGCTGGTAGGCAGGCGCCCCACGCCCTGGCACCTGCAGGGACCCAGGTCAAGAGAATATGCTGCAAAGTGGGCGAGGGCCCCGGCCCCAGTGCCACGTGAAGAGCAGGCCCCGGGAAGCGGCATCTGCACCGGCACTCCTGGGGGGGCGTCCCAGGGGACGTGCAGGCTGCGCCCCAGGGGGCGTTACGTGCACGGACACCTGCAAGTTTCCAGATCTCACAGACTGGCACTGGCACTCGGGTTTTAGGACATGTCAGCCCCTGTCCCATCGCTCTTCCGGACAGCCGGGAACAAGTATCTGGATACCTGTGTCACTCACTTGGGCTTCAAGCTTCATCAGCATGATAGCATAGATCAGATTGTGTGTATGTATGCATGTGCTGGTACTGGGGCTTGAACTCAGGGCCTCACATTCTTGCTTAGCTTTTTTGATAAAGGCTAGCACTCTACCACTTAATCCTCACCTCCACTCTGGCTTTGTACTGGTCAGTTGAAGAAAAGAGTCTCAAGTTTGTGTGTCTGGACTGGCTTCGAACTGCAGTTTTGAGGTCTCAGCCTCGATTACTGGTGTGAGGCACCAGCCTTGGCTGGCGTGGCTTTTTCCCTCTCAGCCAGTGCCCTACCCCTGTGCCACACCTCCAGTTGGCATTTTGCTAATAGTTGGAAATAAGATATCTTTCTGGTTTGTCTGTCTGGACTGGCTTCCAACGGCATGAGCACCCGTGCCCGGCAGGACTTGTCTTGAGCGGCTAGGCAGCACTGCATGTGTGGGGAACTCATTTGCTGACTGGTTTGCCTCCTGGTGGACATTGGTGCTGTCTCCACCACTGCGCTGTGGAGACGCTGGGCATGTGCTCCATGGCTCCCAGGACTCACTCCCTGGGAGCAGAGCTGCTGGTTGTGCGTTTTGTTTTCTAGAAATTGTCAAGTTCAGCTAGGTGTGGTGGTGCACACCTGTAACCCCCGCCCCGGGGAGGCACGCAGGACTGTGTCCGAGGCCAGACGTCTCCCTGGTGAGCCTCGGTCTCTCTGGACACTTGCCAGACTCCCTGCTGCAGGGCCTGCACTCCGTCAGCACCCACCATCTGCTCTCCCGCACCTCACCGCTCAGAAGTTCAGTTCTGTCATACTTGGAACACTGGTCATTTTCAAGCATCCGTGGCAGGGCCAGTGTGTGGTGATCTTTGCTCACAGATCCTCTGCTCTGCCTCCTGGTGGTGTTTGTCTTGAGAAAAAAATGCCCTTCAGCACTCTGTCGCTTTGTGTCTCAGACATTTTCTTCCAATAGAAGCATGGCACGGCGTTGCTAAGCTGGTCTTGCTCTGGCTTCAAACCTCCGGGGCCGCCGTGCACTGCAGCGAACCCATTTGATTTTAATTATGTATTTATTTAAAAGATAAGGTCTTGCAGGGTTGGTCTTAACGTGCGTGTGCATGTGTGTGGGTGTGTGCGTGTGTGTACGTGTGTGGGTGTGGGTGTGCGTGTGTGTGTGGGTGTGGGTGTGTGCGTGTGTGGGGGGGTGGGTGGGTGCATGTGCGTGTGTGCACGCACGCGTGTGTGTGGGTGTGTGTGCGTGTGTGTGTGCGTGGGTGGGTGGGTGTGCTGTGTGGGTGTGCGTGGGTGTGTGGGTGTGCGTGTGGGTGGGTGGGTGTGCGTGTGGGTGGGTGTGGGTGTGTGCGTGGGTGGGTGTGTGTGGGTATGGGTGGGTGTGTAGGTGTGGGTGTGTGTGAGTGTGGGTGTGTGGGTGTGTGGGTGTGGGTATGGGTGTGCGTGTGGGTGTGCGTGGGTGTGTGGGTGTGGGTGGGTGTGCGTGTGGGTGTGTGCGTGGGTGTGTGTGGGTGGGTGTGGGTGTGGGTGGGTGTGTGGGTGTGGGTGTGTGGGTGGGTGTGGGTGGGTATGTGGGTGTGCGTGTGGGTGTGCGTGGGGGTGTGCGTGGGGGTGTGGGTGGGTGGGTGTGCGTGTGGGTGTGGGTGTGTGGGTGGGTGTGTAGGTGTGGGTGTGAGTGTGGGTGTGTGGGTGTGGGTGTGTGCGTGTGGGTGTGCGTGGGGGTGTGTGCGTGGGGGTGTGGGGGTGGGGGTGTGGGGGTTTGGGGGGGTGGGGGTGGGGGTGTGTGGGTGTGGGTGTGTGCGTGGGTGTGCGTGGGTGTGTGTGTGTGTGCGTGGGTGTGTGTGTGTGGGTGTGTGCGTGTGTGGGTGCGTGTGTGCGTGTGCGTGTGTGTGGGTGTGTGTGCGCGCGTGCGTGTTTGGGGGTGTGGGTGTGCGTGTGCGTGTGGGTGGGTGTGGGTGTGTGCGTGGGTGTGGGTGGGTGTGCGTGTGGGTGTGTGGGTGGGTGTGTAGGTGTGGGTGTGAGTGTGGGTGTGTGGGTGTGGGTGGGTGTGTGCGTGTGGGTGTGTGTGGGTGTGTGCGTGGGGGTGTGTGGGTGGGGGTGTGGGGGTGTGGGGGTGTGTGGGTAGGGGTGTGTGGGTGTGGGTGTGTGCGTGTGTGTGTGCGTGGGTGTGCGTGGGTGTGTGCGTGTGCGTGGGTGTGTGCGTGTGTGGGTGCGTGTGTGTGGGTGTGTGTGCGCGCGTGCGTGTGTGTTTGGGGGTGTGGGTGTGTGGGTGTGCGTGTGGGTGTGTGGGTGTGTGCGTGTGGGTGTGTGGGTGGGGGAGTGTGCGTGGGTGTGTGTGGGTGGGTGTGGGTGTGGGTGCGTGTGCGCGCGCCAGTCCTGGGCTTGAACTCAGAGCCTGCACACTGTCTCTGAGCTGTTCTGCTCAAGACTAGAGCTCTGCCACTTGAGCCATAGCTCTGCTTCTTACTTTTTGGTGGTTAATTGGAAATACACGGACTTTCCTGCCCAGGTTGGCTTCAAATTGAGATCCTCAGATCTCAGCGTCCTGAGTAGCCGGGATTATAGGTGTGAGCCACTGGCACTGGTGTAGGCCACACAACTGGGATTGTAGTCATAAGACATCATGCCCAGCCCACTACTTGCCTCTTTTGCAGTCTGAGGCTGGGACTGAATTTGGGTACTTAATGCCTTTGCTTATCCGCTAGTGCTCTACCAGTTGAGCCACACCTCCAACCCCATATCGCCCTGTCCAGATACCATGGTTATAGTAACTCAGGTTCCTCCAACTTTATTTTTAAGTTTCAAAACTGCTTTAGCTATTATTTGTTCCTCTGTGAAAACATACAATTCTTAGAATCATCTTACCTATATCTATTTTTCTATACAGTGGTTCCCTCCTGTAATGCCAGCCACTTGGTAGGCCGAGATCAGGAGAGTCACATTTTGAGATGAGCCTGGCAAAAAGTCTGCTGTTCTCCGTCAGCTGGGTATTGACAGCCACAGTAGGAACTACAGATAGGATCATGATCCAGGGTAGTCTAGGCAGAAAATGGGGCCCGATGCAAAAAGTACCCCAAAGCCAGGTGCTGTGGCTCACGCCTATAATCCTAGCTACTCAGGAGGCTGAGATCAGAGGATCAAAGTATGAAGCCAGGCCTGGCAAGAAGTATGAGACTTTTATCTCCAACTAACCCCCCAGAAAACCGGAGGTGGCGCTGTGGCTCAAAGTGGTAGAGTGCTACCTTTGAGTGCAGAAAGCTCAGGGACAACATCAGGCCTGGAGTTCAAAATCCACAACTGTGCACTTGTGCGCACACAACAGAGTAACCAGAGCCAAAGGGGCTGGAGGTGTGGCTCAAGCAGAAGAGCACCTGCCCCCCGAGTTCACACCCAAGTCCTGAAGAACAAAGTTCCTGTTGGGCCTTTCGCTGGGACTGCATCAAGCCCTCTCTTAGTGTTACGCTAAGCCCTCAGCCCGTGTGCCAGCTTGCCCTTCCCACCCCGCTAGACCTCTTGGTGCTTCTCTACGTAGGCCTGCCCTCAGCCCGTGTGCCAGCTTGCCCTTCCCACCCCGCTAGACCTCTTGGTGCTTCTCTACGTAGGCCTGTGTGTGGCGTGCTGGTCTCTAGCTCCGGGGTAGGAGGTTTGCTGCATATGAATGAAAACAGCCATGAGAGCTTGTTTTGCTTTTCCCCCCTGGACTTTCTGCACACCCTGTTCCCCTGGCCCAGTCATCCTGGGCAGGGCCGCTCGGGCGCTTCCAGGGTTCCCGCTGTTCAGTGTGATGTCACTGGGCCTTTTGTTGCTCTGTTTTGATGCCACTGCCAGGCTGAGCCAGTTCCCTTCGCCTTGCTTTCTGAGGGGTTTCCATCATCACTGGTTTTGTTAACTGCCTTTCTGTGTCACGTGACATCTTCTGTGCTAACCACAGTAGTTGGTCTGTAGAGAGGAGCCAGCCTTGCGTTTCTGGAGTGGGCCCCACTCAGCCATGGCGGCTGCCGCTTTCATAGCGTGCTGGGCTCCACAGCATTTTCTCGAGGGCCTCGCTCCTGTGTTTCTCACGTGGGTGTGTCTGCAGTTGTCTTTTTGTTCCCTAGTCCCTTCTTACTTGTGGTTTCCCTGGCTAGAGGCTATTATCCTCATTTAACTGATGTCTAGAAACACGAAGTAGAAAACGCTAGAAAGCCGGGCGCTGGTGGCTCACGCCTGTAATCCTAGCTACTCAGGAGGCTG